AGAACAATTCAGAAAACAGGGTCAACTTGGGAGTAAGGCTTGGAGATGATTGGCCCCTCCCATAAGACATAAAAGAGGAAGAGCTCACGGGACGTGAGCTTTTGCAGAAAGCAGTTAGTTCATCTGGTCAGTTCAAGCTTTGAAAAGTTCTGTTTGACTCTGTGCTAAGTTGGTCTTGCTCTGCATTTAGCAATTAGGTCTCTGGCAGCATTCCCAGGGAGGTGGGTGTTTATCAACATTCCCCTGAAAGACTGTGGCAACTTGAGCAGACCCAGATTGTTGGGGGCAATATGCTGACTCTCTGTAAACCGCTTAGAGAGGCCTGAAAGGCCTATGAAGCGGTATATAAGTCTACTGCTATTGCTATTGCTATCTGTTGAAACATTGACAGACTGTTTGTGAAGCCTTGCGGACCGTTAATGAACATAATTTACAGCCGTATAAATAAAAGAGGATTTTGGGGACTAAGAATGTGATTTATGTTTTCTCCGGAAGCCTACATCAGAACATGAACAAGTGTTATCTGAACCAACCAACCTACAGTATATGATCATCTAATACTTTAGATTGAAGATCCTACTCTGAGTATTTCTGGCATGATTGGGTCACACTTATATAACAGCACAATGTCCTCCACAAAACTGGTGCATTTACCTGATAAGCTTTTCCTCCTGATTCAAGTATTAAAACTCTTTCGTTGTATTCTTAAAACAGTCATTGGATCAGAATTATACACGGGCAGAAAAACTATTTGACTGCCAAGTGTCAAAGTGGTGTAAGGCAATTGGATGCTGTATGAAGGTTGATCACTTAACCTTTTCCCTTTTTCATTAGTTTTCTGTAGCTTCATGGTATTGTTTGCCAATTAATGAGTTAAATTATGCTTCTATGAAACTGCATGCCATGCAAAGAAATTTCTCTAGGATCAACCAATTGTGTTTTTCTTTTGCAGAACCTACATCGATCTTCAAATAACTGAAACCGCACTGCAAAGCTCTCGTTATTCTCAACATAGCTGAGAAACAGAAGCTGAAAGTAATGTTGCCGAAGTCAGACAGTATATGTATGGCCTGGAATGGAACACAGCCCTTCCTTTCCAAGATAACTCCATGTATGTAAATGTGATTCACCTTTTCCTTGTTGCTCCAATGCTTGCCTCATTTTTCCTATTTTCTTCCACTGCTGTGAGAAGACTTGTAGGTAAGAAGAGATATGTAAAGGTAAAGGTTCCCCTTGCACATATGTGCTAGTCGTTCTTGACTCTAGGGGCCGGTGCTCATCTCCGTTTCAAAGCTGAAGAGCCAGCGCTGTCTGAAGATGTCTCCGTGGTCATGTGGCCAGTATGACTAAGTGCCGAAGGTGCATGGAATGCTGTTACCTTCCCACCAAAGGTGGTTTCTATTTTTCTACTTGCATTTTTACATGCTTTCAAACTGCTAGGTTAGAAGAAGCTGTGACAAGTAACGGGAGCTCACTCCATCACGTGGTGCTAGGGATTCGAACCGCTGAACTGCCAACCTTTTGATTGACAAGCTCAGCGTCTTAGCCACTGAGCCACCGTGCCCCTTTAGAGATATGATACACCAGACCAAAAGTCCTATTTAGTTCAATGTTCCTGTCAGATGCAATTGGGGATTCCACAAATGGAACATTAGCACACTGGCATTTCCTATTCATGTCCTCCAGCAATGAGCATCACAAGTCCTACTGCTTCTGTTACTGAAAGTCCCACATAGCTAATGATCGTAACCTTCTCCTCTTATGAAAACGCTCTTTCTGCTAACATGGGTTTGATAATGTCTGTAATGGAGATTGCTGGAACTAGATACTAGCAACAGGGAAACTGGCTTTTCTAAGAATGACTAGCAAGCCTGTGACAGGAAACTATTTGGTACATCCAGGGCAGGAGAATTTGGGTCAGGTGAATACAGGAGGGAAAAAGTATTGATTATTGTTAATTTTAATTTGAATTCTTTTAAAAAAATGTGTCATTGTTAATTTTAATTGGGTTTGGGGATATTCTATTTAATTTCTTTTTAACCTTTGTAGTATGTGTTTCTTTTAATGTTGTACACCGCCCTGAGTCCTTGGGAGAAGGGCGGCATATAAATCGAATAAACCTCAACTTCAAAAAGCAGGTGGGAATAATCAGAAGAAAAATAGGTAATGGAAAATTTGAAGTAACATTTCAATTCCTGAATTCACACAATACACTCAGCCATGGTTAACTTAGCTATGATTTAAGTGATTATCCCAATACCGTAGATTCACACAACACACTGAACCTTAAACTAACGTCCTGAGCTGGTTTTCTCTCAAACACAAAGTCATTAAATGGTCTGGTGAGTTGTGGCAGCTCAATTGCAGAAACTTCTGTTTTATTCATACTGTGTTACAGTCAAAGGATTTTAAGGGAACATCATAAGGATGGGCATGCATGAAGTTATTCTGTGTTCTGAGTTCATGCTCAGAAGGAATGTTTTTTTTTAAAATAAGAACATATTTGAGAGAGAGAGACAGACAGACTGTGATGAAGAGCTCCATGACTAACGTACATAATCTCTGTGCTTCTACTTAGCGATGTCTGGATCGGAATGTTTCAATGCCCCTGGAAATGCCAGAGGAATTCTTCCACGCCTATTCTGGGGAGAACAGAATCTTAGGCTTTGAGAAAGACATTGCATAATTGTAGAGGGCAATAATTACCTGTCTGTTGCAATGGTTCTAATTTAAACCTGTCGCATAACTTTCCTATGAAGGTTAATGCTTTTGATGAATGTGGCCAGTGCAGGACAGCTGTTCCTGTCCATGTTAGTAACTGTTGTATAGCCCAGTCCTTAGGTAAGATGAGCTGTGATGTGCATCAGGAGGAAACTATCCAAGTTGCCAAGACACGTAACACCATTTATTGAGGGTTTGATCTCCAGAACATTGGCACTGACATCACAGACTGGAGGCAGCCCTCAGCAAAAATCAATTTACAGAATCATTCAGGACAGAGTTATCCTGGGAACAAATGAAGTAAGGGTTTCCACAGCACGGATGTAATGGAACAGCCATAAAGTTGGTCAATATCTTCACTTTTGAGTGAGCATTACTATTGCTGCCTACTTAAGATCACAGGCACTACTTTTGGTACTTATATTGTCACCTACCACAAAACAACGTGCAAATTACCTGATAACCCAGGTGGGCAGCTCACAGCAAAATTGGCAAGGCTGTTTTGGACTGTGGTTGTGGTTAAATGTTAAATTCTGGGCATTTTGCTGCCCAGAATCCTGTAATTCTCATTTCTAACCTCCAGTTAAGAGGGACATTACAGCATTACTAAGTTGCTTCCTGAAATCACCCAGATGCTCAGGTGGACAAGTTATGCCCCTAATTCTCCAGATGGACTCCACCTGTGTTGAATACCATACCTTCTTCAAGAAGCATGGCCCCCATTCCTCAGGTACCACCACTCCAGAGGCAAAACAAAGATTTTCAAGAAGGAATTTGGAACTCTTGTGCTCAAACCCAAATTCTGCAATGACTAAACTTGGAAATAAAATATTTAGCTATGCCGAACAGTTATATAACTTTGCATGTTTTGCTGATGACTTGGTTTCCAGATCTTTTTGGCAGAATTTTCCATCAGGATAGAGCATGTTAGGGAATAGGCAATTTCTGAATATACGCTCCCTTATGACTAATTTTTAAAAAATTGCACAGCCCCTTCTGCTCCATTTGTTTATCTTTTAGCAAATACTGCTGATACATTTTCAGCTTGTTCTTTATAAAAGCAAGAGCTAGAAAGGGTTCTGAGATTCTTAGTTTGATCAACACTAATCAATGTGCAATTTCTGAACTGTAGACTTTCAGACCTTCTAGCTATAGTACAGATTCTCTTTCCATCCAAAATCCACTTCATGACATCTCCAACCTTTAGCCTATAACTCTCCCAGACCCATACCTGGGCTATCACTGACTTGTTCCTTTCTGCTCACCTACAGTGGAGTTCACCCATGGAATACTATGAATGCAGACAAGGAGGAGGACATGAGTCTCATCAGGATATGCCTTTCTATCTCAGAGAGGACACAACCTGACACTGAGGTATCACTTCAGGGAGCTAGACATTGGTCGGTTTCCAATCACACGTCCCACTCAGTGTCTCCTGGACTTTCAGCTCTGCCATCCTTGCTCTGCAATATGGCTGTCTTATGAGAAAAGAATCAATGAGCCCAAACTGCTGGAGACAATGGACTGAACTGCTTTAGATGTTGCTCTCCCCCTTCACGTCAGGAAATTCATAGCAAGGAGGTAGTTCATTCACAGCTAGATTTTCACTGATGCTGCCGTGGGTCCTCTCCAGATACTGCGTGCTAGTATGTACAGTTGCTTGGCTGCAGCTCAGACCATTGAGGTAGTTGCCAACCAGTTTGTGCTTCTCACAGGTGCTGCTGCTCCTCCCGTTACGAGCGTTGGGGGTGTTGCTGTATGTGTGTTTATACTCTTCTTCTATGTCCCGACCAAGTTTCCAGCGTGTCCATTTTTTGGTGAGTTCCGACTGTACCTACAAGGAGGACACACCAGCAAAAAGTTGGCTTTGTTGCCCTTTTGGTACCATTATTTGTAGCATCCTGACCTCCTTGAACAGCCCTATACCTCTGTTTGCAGCATAGGACAGAGTAAAGGTAAAGGTTCCCTTCGCACATATGTGCTAGTCATTCCCGACTCTAGGGGGCAGTGCTCATCTCTGTTTCAAAGCCGAAGAGCCAGCACTATCCGAAGATGTCTCCGTGGTGATGTGGCGGGCATGACTAAACACCGAAGGCGCATGGAATGCTGTTACCTTCCTACCAAAGGTGCCCCCTATTTTTCTACTTGCATTTTTTAACATGCTTTTGAACTGCTAGGTTAGCAGAAGCTCACCCCGTTACGCAGCACTAGGGATTCAAACCGAGTATGGACAGAGTCTGAAAGTGTAAAAGGGGAAAAGGACGCTGGCTCTTGCAAATGAAAAAAAAATGACTTCAAATAATTTCATGTGTAAGGCACCTACAACTACAGCTAGCATTTTAAATCCAAACAAGTATGTTAGATTTACCCAAATCTAGTAATATTCCAGCTATATTTCTACCAAAAACTGCACAGCAGGCATGCCTTTACAACTAAAATACCAGTTCTGGCCACATATGGATGTGTGAACTGAAAACTATAGTTATAGCTGCCCTTTTAATTGCTTCTTGATGAGGAGACTCCTGAAACTCAAAAGGACATCGTACTCCACTCCATCATCATTCAAATGATTGCAGCTTGAAATTCTGGACCTCTCATAATTTAGCCAGAAGGGGCAAAGCCTGTGCCCCATATTTCTCTGTTTAGGACTTACCTCTTTGTTCACAAAGCAGTAGAGAATGGCCACCAGCATTCCCTAGGGGTACAGAAGGGTAGTTACCAACATTGTAACAATCATTTCCAATAATAAAATTACACGGAAGATATGGAAGAGCCCGAATATTAGTATATTTCTTGTTCCTCACCTGAAAAGAGCCAAGAAAGAGGTCAAAGAACAGCTTGACAAAGCGTAGAGTGCCCTGAGCTTGCTCATCAATAACAAAGGCAAAAACCATCTCATGGATGCCCAGCAAGGGAATCAGAGTCAGGGTTGATTTCGCCAGCCTAAATGAACAGCAGGTGATTAGGCTTCATCACAAGGAAAAAGAGTTAATCAGAGGTGTAGGGAAGAGGCACACCATATTTCAGGGTGAGAAACGGACAAAATTGCTCGGTTTCGGTCGGACTTGGACTCCACACCCGCAGTTCCAGCCGAGGCACAGGGGGACCAAGTAGAACAGCTCTGGGTTGAGTTTCAGGATGTTTCCCCCGGGGATGTGGACAAGGCCATGAGAGCTGTAAGTTCCTCCACCTGTGCTCTGGATCCGTGTCCCTCATGGCTGTTTACGAACTGCAGTG